TATATAACGCTTGTCAGATTGTAGAGCAATATATTAATAGAAGGCACCATAGACAGATATGTCGATAATAATGCCTGAATTAATAGACAGAAACAAGCTGAAGGCAAGAACATATTGGTAATAACAACGGTGATATATGCACAATATGTATACAAAAAGTATACATACATTATATATCATATATAAAGCCGTGGAGCGGAGGCGTAGCACGTGAGATTGAGAAAACCGCAGAGGTCAGCAAAGTCGTTATAAAACGGACCAATTGAAAACAGTTCCTGGCCTTTCGGTTTCCATACACTCCAAGGACGAGCGAGCGAGCAGCATGTGGTAACCGTTGGTGTTCCCCGCATCTACTCACTCACATAACTCTTTTCCCCTACCCCAACCTCACTTTTACTCACTCACAGAACTCTCTCCGTCTACCCCACCCGCATGCTGGCTACTCATTCACAGTACTGTCTACCTCTACCCCACTCCGCATGTACTCACTCAGTAGTACTCTCTCGCTGCCCACACAGAGCGATGACGTTTTCCACAAGTCTCCTCCTATTAGCAATATCTCTGCACGTCGCCGTCTCGATTAGATTGTAGGTCTCTCCGTTTGGCCTTCCCATTTCTTCTAAGTTGAAATACGCGGTCCAGTGGACAAATGCTGATAAACTAACAACCGGGTAATGAAAGGGGGGGGGGGGTTCAACTTACTATAGGTGTTACGACGCCATGAGATCAGGCTCTCGTCAATATTGGAGCATATTGAGTTATTAGTAAAGAAGTAAAGTTGTTCCCGCCTCCGATCCGGACATCATGGATTGTCTTGTTAGTGAGTCAACTTCCTGGGCCTTCGGCATATTGTGGTAGGGTGGCCAGTTCCTTTCCACGACGCCTTTACTTTCCCAACTCGAAGTCAGGTACTCATTACTGCTGGGTGGGCAGGAGGGGACGAATTAGTGCCATCTTAAAATTAGTTCTTTGTCTTGTTTTCGAAGAAAAAAATTAGCCATCTGTCTTCAATAATAGAAGTCGAGATATTCTGAATTGAAGGAGGTAACGTCGCCTGGTTTCAGTGGTAAAATAAGCGAGAATATGGCTGCCAAAGTTTGGTAACTTCAGTAGCTTGAGAGTACCTGAAAACTGAAAAAATAACTTGTAAAAAAAACCTTTGACAGACGTTTTTCCAGTAAAATCGACACAGAAATTTGTTTTAGAACGGACATTGAAAGTGCTGAGCCAAATAACAAAATTTCGATAAAAATTGCCGAACCGGCGGACAACACATATTTCGGCATTTTCATTATTTTGACGAGCGCCTGGTTCCACCACGATGCCTCACAAAATAGGTATGTCTGCCTCACCGTTCAGTCGGAAGTCTCGAGCCACACGGTACTAATTTAGTCCCACCATGCGGCCGGTACCCGTCAGTGTATCGCGGTGGGATGCGCTGCTACCTCTACCTGGCGAGAAAAACTGTTATTATGTGCTGTAAGCGACGTATAAGTCGCACACAGCTAGGTATTACTTTGTTCTTTCTGTCTACATCAATTTTTTAAAGGAGGTAGCGGCCACATAACATACATCCGGTGAGCGGTAGACCAAAGGTCATGTTGTGACACATTGTGAGCCTTCAGATCAGAAACACGAATGGCGTTTTTTATCGTACGTTTTTCGGACACACAATGAGGAAAGAAGCATTAGAGAATATTGTAACAACAGGAAAGTTCGATGGAAAGAGAGGCAGAGGCAGACAGAGGGTAAGGGTAATGGACAAGATGACAACATGGTTGGGAGCAGCAAGAACAACAGACACCATTGCTGCAGCGCAGGACAGGGTGAAGTGGAGGTCCATAATCGCCCACGCCAGTCGGCAAGGCACCGGATGATTATATTTTACTTGCCTTTAGAAGAACATTCAGGTAAAGAAAATGTCAGAGAGAAATGTGTATGAATAAGGAAGTTGTAGATGTTTTTGGCGGTGCCCTAAGGAGGTTATACCGTTTGTTGTTATGTCCTTGCGGTGCCCTCAGAACAGCGCTCGTCTTCCAACGACGTGGAGTGGCCAGAATACTAGAATGCACGTCATCAGTGAGTTAATCTGTTGGACATTGCACGTGCCATTACTTTACCTCGCCGACACTCGCTTAGCGAGCTTCTGGTTTGATCTACTTATTATATTTATACGGGGTGCCCTTTGGGGGATCGGGTCAGGTCAGATTGAGGGCGCAAAGCGGCTATTGTGGCTCAAGCCGATCGCGCCAGACTCGTCGCCAGAAAAACAAACGCGTTTGTTTTCAGGCGACGAGTCGGGCAATCGACCCGACCTGACCCGACCCGACCC